AAGAGTGGCTATAAACATAAACACATTATAAACCTGTAAATTTGCTAAGTAGCAACGTCTGTTATATTTTCACCTGCATGGAGGCAATCCATGTTACAAGTTGTAAGAGATTGACAGAAAACTTCCACAACACCAACCACACTTTTTAGTTGACAATATGTAACACATAAACAATGGCTCGTCTTCGGACTTAAATATTCGCAAAAACTTTTCGTATGAACTACAAAATACCAAAAATCATATTTTGTTTTCAAAACATGCTGCTTACCTTACACATGAATACAAAAACATGACATAACATTTACATTCTCACTGAATCATGTTTTGCTATCGCAGACTATCACCTAATTTCACCCAAGTTTAAAACAATCGAATGTAGTAAATTGCACTAATAAATTGGACACTTGTGTCAAGAAAATCTTGGCATGCAAATAAAGTGTCTGGGTAGTGGGATATGGACGAGGGTTAGAACGATAAGGTACTACGAAGGCAAACATGGCTGTATAGCAAAAGCCTGAACAATAGGTGACCTGGTCAACGTGGTAACAACCGAATAATAGTGAATGGGTGTGATGAATATTTAAAATTTAATGACATAATCGCTATTTTGTAGCTCATTCCCTAGATGTTACTGGACCAACAAATGTAAACATTTTAAATGAAGAAGACGCCACTCTGAAATGTACTCTCACAAACTCAACAATCACGAAACTGCAAAGTGGTCTGTAGTTGATGATTCTGATACAATTATGACATTAACCCCATCAACATGGTTCTATTCCAATGGTTACAATGCTGCAAAACATTCGGGATGGTACGTAGATATGACTGGGCCACGTCACTATATTCTAAATATACCAAGTGTTAATATCAATGATGAAGGATGTTATTATTTTGGACTAAATACTGCAGGTTCGACACAAATGGTAAATCAATGTGCAACTCTAACTGTAATAGTTAAGAGAATGAAACAGTTATATGAATAAAAAAAGTACTCATATTACATATGAACATGCATTTGTAGTGTTTGTACTGTGTTATGCATTCCACAACAATAACGAGTGCATATTCTGAAGTACACACACTGTGCTCGTCATAATTACCGTATACCTCATCCAACATATCACACCTGTGATTTAAAAGGCAAACAAATAAATTCAATGAGTAAATTTATTGGTTTGGAGGACGCCACTCTATTTGGAATTTTGCATGGTAAAAATAGAGAAATTCATGTGGGTAAAATGATAACAAAAACAAGAGATCTCCTTCCGGCAGTGACTCTAAAACGGGGCACTTTTTCCCAGGGTCCCGCAGGATGGGATAGATTGTCAGGGCGACTGCTCTGAAATACAAGACTACATGTAAAGATACCAGTCAAATCAAAACAGCTTTCCTGCAAGTGGGAAAAACATATTACTTCAAATATTACAGACTTTTCACACATCCAACACAGTGAATAGGATACTTTTTCAGAATATTCAAATGCAATAAATATTTATTCAAACATCCACACTAAAATCAACAGAAATGCCACGCAACAACATGTAAATCAACGCACTGACAAAATCACAATGGAAAACTAAAGTCATGAACAAACAGTACTGGCTTTAAATAGTCCTTACTACAGGCAACAATTGCCCGGCAACGACGGTGTTACAATACAATAAGACGTTAAAATTGCATCCGGTTGTGGAGTTTTTGTATTTGGGAGAATGAGGTTTGCCTTTGCCACAACTACCTCCAGGTCACCCTTGGGCAAGGTGTAGTACCTGTCAGCCTTGGGTGCCAACTTCCAATATAATAAGTTTGGTTGACGTCAGTAAGGGCATACGGTCATAAAAGCCTTGCACCAACTCAGCCTCACGTGTGAGGTTTTACCTATTAAAGGCAACGTTTACGTTTATTTAAATATGCATATATGTGTCCTGGGCAAGATTTTAAACTACATCAGGTTGTGGAGTCTATGGACGTGGGAGAATGAGGTTACCCTTTGCCACAACTACCTCCAGGTCACCCTTGGGCAAGGTGTAGCACCTGGGAGCCTTGGGTGCCAACTTCCCACATAACAAGTTTGGTTGACGTCAGTAAAGGCATACGGTCGTAAAACTCTTGCACAAACAGATCCGCATAGGGGGTAATTTTTCATGTAAATATGTATATATTAGTTTCAGTTGTTCTTAGCATTTGGCAGGGGGGATCGTAACCTCTTGTGGTGAGAACCAGTGTGACTCGTCTGCCAACGGGGTGCTAAGGATTTCATTGGAAACGTTACATCCGTTACATCCGTTAATGTAATTTCGTTTTATATACCCGTAAATCAAAAATCACAATAAAAATATTACTGTACACTCTCGATAACTCACAACTGCATGAAACTGTAAATACGCCCTCATGGGTCAAAGGTCATCTATTAAATTGCCGAAACCACGTGAGTGAATAAAAAGTCAACACATAAAATAAAATACATAGAATCTCGATATCAAAAGAGTATTAATGTATATAACACACAGGATCGCTGATTGCGACTATTGCAATCAAAAACAGTTTCTGCTCACAAAACCTAAATCAAACGATGACGCAATGTCAAGTCAAAGCGCCTGTGAACAGCAATGAATATAAATACAACTCGTTTCATGAAAGCATTTCAATACTCGACTTAACTATGAAAGTACTCCCTAAAATAGCTAATTATGTGGGCTAATCCCGAATAGATTGCTTCGAGAATGGGCTCTGAATCTCTTACATCCAGTCAAAAACGTGTTCACTGCTGAACGACTGCGAAAACAATGTCACTGCAATGTAATCACGCACATCCGAAACAACAACAAAAACACAGCCAAGTTCACTTCAGAACACTTTTATTTACTCGCACGTATCTCTCTCATACGGGGTAGGGGTCTCACCTAAATAAGCCAGAGTCCAGTGAATAGTCTTTATCTCGTCGCCGGCGTCTATGAACTCAGGCACTAATTATTTGATCCCGGTCTTATTAGCCACAGGGACTTGACGATCTATTCATCTCAATGCGTGGACGTCTATGGGGCCGAGCGACTATGTCCCGGTACAGAACCTTGCCCTTGCTCAAAACAATAGAAATTATGGAATTAAAACAGTTTAGCAATGTAAAGCAAGCATATGTTATTAAATTTAATCATCACGCTCCGAAACCACGAAAATTACTAATACTTGTTTCCGTCTGATCAGCTTGCACTAAATATAAGACAAGGGAGGAAACAAAATGTGCACATATTTTTCTAGCTGCCGAAAATTATACCTCAAAATAACTTGTCCAAACCAGTTAGGAGTGCTTAAAAAACCCGAAATGGTTTTAGTGATTACATCATTGTATAAAAACATGCTAAACGACCGTGACATAAACACAGCTGTTTATAGTATTAGTTTCAATAGTTTGCCCGGTGGGCGATGGTAGGCAGTATAAATTAAGACTCATGATTATTTCAATATTGTCCAACCTGTTAATTCATAACATCACCAACTGCAATCACGAAAACACACAATCACGAAAACACGCACTCACGAAAACAGTGCTAATTATAAAAAAAAAAAAAACTTGTTACCATTGACAAATGTCATGTGTAATAACATTTCCAATGCTGTTCCGGCTGATGCAGTTGTTGTATTATCAGGAAACTGTATACGCGCACAAAAAATATCAATAATACTTCCCTAAACCACAGTTGAGAAACCCAGTTATATTAGAACCACATATCACGGCATATATCGAGTGAATAAAAAAAAGTTCGAAAAATCGAATATATCATATCTTTGAATTATATTATTTTCTCTACAGTTGCCGTCAATACAACTAGAATCTCAGATGATAGCAATAGTGGTGGATATAAATCAGGTGATGACGTCATAGTTACAGATAGTCTAACACATATACTTACATGTGAAACCATTGGATCAAAACCTGTAGCTCCTAATATAGAATGGAATACTCAGAATATACCAGTTGTACAGTCATCAAACTCTGACAGTCCAAACAGTGGAGACAATAGATTATTTGATACAACATCTACTATAGAATGTACACCATTGTGGTCATATCATAGTAAAACTATTACATGTAAAGGAAGTAATTCAGCGAATATACAACCAATTACCACAAATATTAAACTAGATGTACAAGGTAAGTAAACAATGATATAATATAGTGGGGACAGTAGATTATTTGATACAACATCTATTATAGAATTTACACTATTGTGGTCATATCATAGTAAAACTATTACATGTGAAAGACATTATTCATCAAATATACAACAAATTGCCACAAATATTAAACTAGATGTACAAGGTAAGTAAACAATGATATAATATAGTGTAGATAATAGATAATTTGATACAACATCTACTATGAGAATTACAATATTGTGGTCATATCATAGTAAAACTATTACATATGAACGACACTATTCAGCAAATATACAACCAGTTATCACAAATATTAAACTAGATGTACAAGGTAAGTAAACAATGATATAATATAGTGTAGATAATAGATAATTTGATACAACATCTACTATGAGATTTACAATATTGTGGTCATATCATAGTAAAACTATTACATGTGAAAGACATTATTCAGCAATCATACAACCAGTTATTACAAATATTGAACTAGATGTACAAGGTAAGTAAACAATGATATAATATAGTGTAGATAATATATTATTTGATACAACATCTACTATAGAATTTATACCATTGTTGTCATTTCATAGTAAAACTATTACATGTGAAGGAAGTAATTCAGCAAATATACAACCAATTATCACAAATATTAAACTAGATGTACAAGGTAAGTAAACAATGATATAATATAGTGTAGATAATAGATTATTTAATACAACACCTACTATAGAATAATCATTGTGGTCATACAGTACAACTATTACATTACATATATCTATTTCAGTATCTCCTATGAGTGTTAATATTTTTGAAGTCACATGACTACATTAACTTGTACCGCCATGGGAGCACGTCCTGCATCTGACATACAGTGGACTGTTGATAATGATAATCCAGATGATGATGAGACAATATCAGATAATACACAAGATAGTGACCTGAAAGATACAGCAAGTACCATGACATTCACACCAACTTATCTAGATCATCAGAATACAACGTTGACATGTAAAGCTACAAATGATGCAACTATTGTTAATAGACAACCTGTTATTAAACAACTTTTACTTGATGTGTAGGGTAAGCAAATATATAACACATAAATATTTAAAAACATACATACACATGTTTGTAACTAGGTCTCAGGGTCGGGTCAAAAGTCACTTTGAAGATTTTGTCAGCATCAAATTATAAAATTTCAATAATAATCGAGAATTCAGTCACCATGTGTGTGTGTGACAAATTCGTGTAATACATAGATAATTTGACTAACAGACTCTAATATGACTCAATATAATATATACAAAAACAAATAAGGACAGGGAAGCAAACGCGTTATCTATAGGTATTATAGCTGACAGCCCAGAACTAACTGTGGGCATATACGCATATCATGCCAAAGTCTGTACATGACAACACAGAACTACATTTACGAGTATGATCGATGTATCAACAAACCTGTATAATTTCATAATTTTCATAATGAATGTCAATATAAAACATTAAAGAGTTATCATGCGTCTACATTTCTGATTAGCGACTGCCGTATGAAACTGAAATGTGCATTATTACTGTGAAGTAAATTATAGATCAAAATGACTCGTCCTTAAATGTAACAAGTGAATATTTAATTTTATTCAATTTTGTATTCTGTTCATTGTACCAGATTAAGCCAAATATATTTCAATCTGATTAAAATAAGATCCGGGTTGGCTTATTTTTTTTATTTTCTTTTATATAATTATTATTATTTATTTTAATTGTTTACT